TTTAGGGGTCTATGGTTTAGGGTTTAGGGTTTAGGGTTTAGGCTTTAGGGTTTAGGGGTTTAGGCTTTAGGGGTTTATGGTTTAGGGCTTTTGGTTTAGGCTTTAGGGGTTTAGGGGTTTAGGAGCAGCAAAAAAAGGACGACGAGAACGACGACCGCGGAAGACATGGAAGAAACGACGAGGGTCGAGATTCTTGTGCACTAAAGCTGGGACAGGACTCTCAGCAACTCCACGGATCTATGACTATAGTATAGGGCTTGCGGCTATACTACAGAAGACGAGTAAGTAGCTGAGTGGGACCTATGCAGGAGGTACCACTACCCAGAGAGCCCAATACCCCTTAATTAAGGAATATACCTTAAAGTATAAGGGGTTCCAAATTATGATTTAAGCTATATTCCTTAAGTAAGGGGTATTGGGCTCTCTGGGTACCAGACACTCCGACCCCGATGCCACTTGATTTGCGAGGTCATGGGCTTTGGTCCTCTTGCGAGCGGGCTGACCAGTCTTTGAGAGCCCTGAACCCTAAACCCTAAAGCCTAATCCCTAAACCCTAAACCCTAAAGTGTAGGGTTTAGGGTTTAGGGCCTAAACCCTAAACCCTAAACCCAAACCCACCGAAAAAAAACCCTAAAGCCCTCAGCCCAACTCTCTGCTCTGGCCTGCAGTACCCCGATCCCGAAGTCAAACGCTTCGGCATCTTCTGCCCTGAATGCCACACCAAACTTGCGGAGTCAACACAAGACCCTAAACCCTAAACCCCAAAACCAAAACCCAAAACCCTAAACCCAAAACCCTAAATCCTAAACCCTAAACCCTAAACAAGGTTCAGAGCCTGGGTCCCCGATGCCGTTTCACCCTGGAGCTTCAAAGCTACAGGCCTCATGCCCTGCACCCAAGCCTAGACCTAAAAAACTCACCCCAAACCCAAAGCTCTAAACCCCAAACACACACCCCAAACCCTAAGCTCTAACCCCCAAACACTGACCCCAAACCCTAAGCTCTAAACCCCAAACACACACCCAATAAACCCTGAACCCTAAACCCTAAACCCTAACAGCCGGTCCTCAAGAGGCATGGACTTGTCCATGTCGAGCTCCTCTAGACGGGTGAGACGCGACATTGCAACACTTCGCAACCCTTTGGTGATTGATGATCTACCTGTAGTCTCCATTGTAGTTCCTTTTTGGGGTTACCTTTTAGGGATCCTTATTATAAATCTGGTTAAACCAAAAAAAGGAACTACAATGGAGACTATAGGTAGAGCTCAGTGACTTGGTGGCTAGTGGTTCGGGGTCAGTGGTCTAAGGGCGAGCGGTTTTGTAGGGTTTGGGGCTTGGGGCGTTCAGAAGCATCCCCTGCAGTGGGACACTGCCCCCAGAGAGCCCAATACCCCTTAATTAAGGAATATACCTTAAATTATAAGGGGTTCCATATTATGATTTAAGCTATATTCCTTAATTAAGGGATATTGGGCTCTCTGGGCCCCTGCGCATGCTGTCGAAAAGAGCGCCAGCAACAAGGCAAAATCTTGGCGCCAAAACCAAAAACTACACTCTAATGAGACTCTAATGCAGACCCTGAACCCCGAATTCTGACTTCAGGTCCAGGTGTCGCATGCTATTCTTAAGATTTAAGAAACTCAGAGATCCGGCTCCCTGCTGACAAAAATGCCAGAAAGGAGCCCCTCCAGATGCTCGAGGAGGATACGGCTTTAGGTCCTGCTCGTCGGGGAAGAAGAAGTTGTCCACCATGCCCCGCTGATCAGCCGTGAGGTAGCCACCTCAACTTAAACCCTAAACCCTAAACCCTAAACCCTAAACCCGAAACCCCTAAACCCTAAACCCTAAACCCTTGCACCGATTGTTTGGGATGTCGTGCCTTGCTTGTGTGAGTTAACAGGCTTTAGGACTGAAGGGCTCAGGGTTCAGGCTTCACGTGCAACCCAGCAATGTGTTTGGGGTCTACACCTACTTAGGCATCATGGCTCTGTCTCGAAGAGCATTCCAAGCTAGATGGGCTTCAAGGTCTGGAACTTTTCCTACTCAAGCCTACCGAAACGACACGTTTGGAGTGCAACCTATGAAACGTCAACTAGGCGACCCAACACCGCTCAAAGCAAAGGATGCCTCCTTAGAAACCATCCGGAATCTGACAAACACCCAGAAATTTTAAAAACTTGACAGCTGCCCACCCCTAGCACCTAGAATGTCTGACAACGACGTCCTGCAAAAAAAGACATCGGCATATATCGGAAAGATCCACACCCTATTGCGAGCAAAGATGATTTCAAGTGCGGTTGATATGTTACCTCCCTATCCTGCTGTTTGCTTCCGTGCTTTCTGTGGCCCTTACAAAGTCCTCTCAGGTACCCTGCGCTCCGAACCCGCAAAACCCTCAACCCGAAAGTTGCAGACAATCGCACCGCAAGCCTCCAGCTGCTCCAGCCTGATGTAGCAGGGCAGAAAGGAATATATATATATATATATATATATATATATGTCTTTACATGTGTATATGTATGTATTTATGTATGTATGTACGTACGTACGTACGTACGTACGTACGTACGTAGGTAGGTAGGTAGGTAGGTAGGTAGGTAGGTAGGTAGGTAGGGAGGGAGGGAGGGAGGGAGGGAGGGAGGGAGGTAGGTAGGTAGGGAGGGAGGTAGGTAGGTAGGTAGGTAGGTATGTATGTATGGAAAGGCCCGAAATACCAGCATCAGCGCTGGATCGTCGATGGCCCCAGCACCTAGTTTGATTGCCCATGCCATGGGAAAGGGCACGACCGAGCCGATAGACGGAGATGTGATCATGCAGGCTACTCTGCGAGGGCATATATCTTTCGCTTTATCCGTGCTCCTGCCGCTTGGTGATGTCTCGTTGAAAGCCCTTCGCTTGCACCTGGAGTGGAAGTTAGGATCTTGCCTGAAGGAGCGGAAGCTGGAAATTAGACGACTGGCAGGGTTGTCATTAGAGCAGACCGCGCCGATCCTGTGTGCTGGAGATTGGGAGCCAATTCCTTTTGGATCGCATGTCGCAGATCGTGGCCGATGCCTCTTTTCTGACTTACGTGACCTGCCAGCAGATGGTCAGTGGCATGATCGCCCTGTCATTGGGAACACATGCTGCAAATGCCTCGGCTGTGCTTGCTGGGACCTTTTTTGCTTCACGCACGGCATCCGACCTGATGGAAAGATGCCTTGGGAGGGGCTGATCGGCGGTGAAGACTCTGGCAACTTCGCGTGCTGCAGTGAAACTGGTGCTGGCAGACATGTGCCCTGCTGTTCAATGGTCGGTTTCGAGCCAGCAGCCGCCCATGAGGCACGCCACCAGATGACCGCCTGCATTCTGGATAACATTGAGGCCGCGGGGGCCTGCATCAGGGCGACAGGACAGGTCAAGCGCTTCTCCGCTGACTTCGTTGCGGACGTTGATGACAGTCCTGCGTGCTACTGGTGTTTTGATCCTGGCGGTGTGCGTTTGTATGTTGTGGTTTTTGCGGTCGACAACGTGAAGTCGATGTTTCAGGATGGTTGCAGGGCTTCCGCAATCATGAACGCGGCGGTCCAGTACACGGCGTGTTCGTGTGATCCCGGGGGTGAGTCTGAGCTGGGTACGTCCCTTGAGTCATCCCTCCTCAAGTGTGAGGGCAAGCTTCGCTAGAGGCTGTGTTGCCAAGGGTGTGCGGGCATGCACAGCCGGACACTCGAAAATTAGTGAGAAGGTGCAGTTGCAGGCGCCCTCACTTTCAATTTCTGTTTGACCCAAGAGGCCTTTCAGAGGGTGCACCGTAGTGTAAAGTTCGGCAACTCTCTGCTCGTGGAGCTGGCCCCGGCTATTCTTTCGTGGTAGTTCATGGAGAATGGTGCGGCCCCACTGTGGGCAGCTTTTGATATTGTGACGGAATGACGTTCTTCAGGGATGGCTTTTGACGCACAGCGGCCAGTTGCAGCCCTGGGGTTCATGTTTCCGTCTCGCGGTGAGGGCCTCTGATTTCTGCTCCATACTTGTGGAGCAAGTTATGAGTGCACACAGGGCGGCCGCCTCCCCCACTGGATGTTTTAATTAGTTGCAAGTATAGGCTGCATCCGACATGGATTCCTTGCCTTTGAAAGTGAAAAAGTGAATGGATGTATGTATGTATGTATGTATGTATGTATGTATGTATGTATGTATGTATGTATGTGTATATAAGTATAGGTGCATATTATACTATCTTAGTGCGTATATATATATATATATAGATAGATAAGATAGATAGCTAGATAGATAGATAGATAGATAGATAGATAGATAGATGTGGGACCTTAATGTCAGAGTACGCAGGGCTTTGCGGGTTCGGTGTTGTATGGTGCAGTTGTGCAGAGATAACAACGGCTGATCATTCAGAACCCCTCAGTATGGGCAGTTCTCTAAGATGGGGTCCCCTTTTCAGGTCCTTTTGTAATCTCTTTTGTAAAGGGTGCCGCTCTGTTTTGGGGACTCTGCTTTAGAGAACTACCCTTTTTGACAGCCCAGAGAGTCGTAGCTCTCATGTAAGGCCCTGAGGTTGCGAGTGGAGATCTCATCTTCAGCCTTTCAGCCCCTACCCTCGAAAACCTTTAGTAAACCCCCGTAATCCTAAACCCGTGACCTTTAAACACCAACTTTCGGGTGTTTACTATAGCCCAAGTCAAGGACCTGTGAGCCTAGCATATCCCAGTACTGACCTACCTACCCGCAAGCCCCTGAAACCTAAACCCTCAAGCCCCTAAACCACCCAGCCACGAAGGACCTCGATCCCTAAACCTTCAAGGATCCTCGGAGAAACCTAAAACATATTGGGACAAAATCCCCTGAACATATTATGTTTTAGGTCTAAGTCTCTTTTTCGGGTTTAGGGTTGTGGTTTAGGGTTTAGGGCCCAGTTTAGGGCTTTTCCCGAATAGTAATGCCGCCTTGATGGGGAGATCTTGCGCAACGACCTCTGCAGTCTCCGCCTCAGAAGGTTTGGCGCATCTGGGGATCCGGGTGCACCCTACACTCTACACCCTAAACCCTAAACCCTAAACCCTAAATCCTAAACCCTAAACCCTAAACCCTAAACCCTGAATCCTAGAACCCTAAACCCTAAACCCTAAACCCTAAACCCTAAACCCTAAACCCTGAACCCTGAACCCTAAAATGTCTGTTCTTTCTCGCACTTTTGGGCTTTAGGGCTCCGGAGGGTTTTAGAGCCTGGGCTGAATGTGGGCTGTCCTTAATAATCAGGGTTTAGGGTTTAGGGTTTAGGGTTTAGGGTTTAGGGTTTAGGGTTAGAATAGGGTTTTGGGGCCCATTATGGTATAGTTATAATAAGGAACTCACAAGATACTGTAGGTAATTCTTCAGGCCCCCATAAGGTTTTGGAGAATAAATATAAATATATATATATATATATATATATATATGCACATACATACTATAACTATAATAAGGGAACCCCAAAATAGTATAGGCAATTCTTTAGGCCCCCATACTACCCCTCGATATGGGGGTTTCCGAGAAACGGAGCATAGTACCCCAAATAGCAGGATCCTTGTTATACCACCGGAATACTTAAAGGTTTATGGGACTTGGTAACTGGGGTTAAGAATAAGGTAACTATACTTATAACTACTTATAACCCCAATTAAGGTACTTATAACTGTACTTATTAAGTCCCATGAACCTCCAAGTAAGGTATTCCTCGATCTCTTGGAGCCCGCAGAGTCTTCCCCGAAACCCCGCGACCCTTCGACTCCTTCGGTCATGAAAACTCGAGCCTTGAGTTTAGGGTCTAGGGTCTGTAGGGTTGAGGGTGTAGGGTTTAGGGTTTGGGTTGAGGGTTTATTGTAGGGTTTAGGGTTTAGGGTTTAGGACCCCCTCAACGACAAAAGGGGTTGCCGCTGCCCCCGGCCGCGCCTGCATCGTCGTATCTGTCTTCGCCTGCTCTGGCGTGACTGTAGGCTCCTGCAGCAGTCGGACTCCGAACAGGGTTTAGGGTTAAGGGTTTAGAGTTTAGGGTTCAGGGTTTAGGGTTCTAGGGTTTAGGGTTTAGGGAATGTGGTTTGCTCGTCTGCTTCGGTCCCCAGTCTGGAGGTTCTGTGGGACAGAATGAATTGAGATGAAGGTCTACTTCAAAGGCACGGTGGCTCTTCCAGATAAAGTGCTCGCTATCTGGGATACTAGGCGAACCAAGAAGTCCCGGTTTTTTTCGGCTAAAGGGATCCTGGGATTGAGAGCTCGAGGTTTCAAGTATCCCCTTATAATCCCTATTGTGTCACAGTATCCCCGTGTACGTATATACTGACAGTATCCCCTTATAACAAACAGTATCCCTTCTAAAAACAAGACAGCATCCCCTTATAAGAATAAAACCATTAAAGAAAACCGTACCCCCCCCCCTTGAAAAAACAGTCCCCCTTATAATCCCTGTAGAATGACACGAGAATCTCCCGTCGTGCCGGGGCCTCCACGGCACCTCCAGCAGGCTTCTCCGGCTGCTCGGCCTGATGGAGGGAGGACTTTGGATTCACTCTACCCTAAACGGCCCTAAACCCTAA